CATATTACGTCGGGGCCGATAAAGAACTGTCAAAAACGTGATCAGGGCCATGGATTACTTTGTCACTGTCAGGAAAACTTTCAGTCAATTTTTTTTTACTTTCTTGCGTTTATATGTTGGGTTGTGTGCGAGAGTTTTTTTTTCTGTAAGCAACAGTGTCTCCTTAGATAGATACCCCCATTTTAAATATGCAAATGTTAAACTAACATATTGATGAAACTCATGCAAGAAAGGAAGGAAAGGTAAGTATTCGTCCGGTCGACTTTGAAAAAAGGTGAGAAACTTGGATGAGTGCAATTTTTGTTCTCTCGGCTAGGGAGAACAACATTTTTTATAGAGCGAGCAGACGGTGGGGATCGAGGAAGGCCCAGGATGCTATTTCACGAGTGCCGCGACCACACACTGTTATGTCAAGCATGCAATTACCTGGACAAGACTAGTAAAACATCCAGCGATATCGATCAACGGAGTTATGGCTCACCTTGATCAGCCGCAGCGATGCCACCCTGGGATCACTTAAAGACACATGGTACGCTCACAAACATTGGGGTGTATGTGACTATCAGCCCCAGCTGTCGATGTGTCGTGGTTTCCCCGCCCGAAACTGCACGGGGTTAGAGTACAGGGCCGTGGGAAAGTCTAATTCGTCCATGCTCCGCCTACCGTTTATGCTAACAGCCGTTCCGCGCGGCGCGTGTCGCGCGCAGCTCTCTTGGCTTTTTGCCAAGTCCTGTAATTGCGCTTTGGAATACAAGTAAAACGCAATTTCCTGATGCGGATAACATTTTAGGTGCTGCAAAATAAGAACCGAAGATGATGACGAGGGCCAGAACTCAAGAGCAACTGTGCTGCTTCTGCAATATCCCTCGGAGGCCGCGCATTCCCACAAAACATGAAAATAAAAACGGCCTAAGCGTCCCACTCGTTAGTTTAATACAAGCAAAACGCAATTTCCTGATGCGAATAACATTTGAGGTGTTGCTCATGCTGCAAAGTCCGAATAGAAGGTGATGAAGATGACAAAGGCTGGAAATTATGAACAGCGAATGTAGACGAAAATAAAAGAAAAATGAAAAGTTTAAGGAAATCGCAAATTAATTAAAATCGCGTGTAAATTTCTGCGATCCGGCGCGAATTCGGCTCCAAAGCCATAGAAATACTTTAAACTAACGAGTGGGAGCTTAGGCCGTTTTTATTTTCATGTTTTGTGGGAATGCGCGGCCTCCGAGGGATATTGCAGAAGCAGCACAGTTGCTCTTGAGTTCTGCCCTCGTCATCATCTTCGGTTCTTATTTTGCAGCACCTAAATGTTATCAGGAAATTGCGTTTTACTTGTATTCCAAAGCGCAATTACAGGACTTGGCAAAAAGCCAAGAGAGCTGCGCGCGACACGCGCCGCGCGGACGGCTGTTAGCATAAGGGAGTCTGCGCCGCAAGTTGCATTTTGGGCGGAGCATGGACGAATTAGACTTTCCCACGGCCCTGTACTCTAACCCCGTGCAGTTTCGGGCGGGGAAACCACGACACATCGACAGCTGGGGGGCTGATAGTCACATACACCCTCAATGTGTTGAGCGTACCATGTGTCTTCAAGCATGAAGTAAGTAATATTAGTTACCTTCTCGACCTCACTGTCGAGAACGTCATGCGTCAATTTGAACGCGAAGACCTGGAGTGAAGATGGATGGCTGACAGCTGCACCATCTCCGCTTTACTGTAAGCATCGTTTTAATAGCACCGAGCATCGAGTCACCAAAACCACTGCTGGCTGATCTCGGCGTGCGTATTTCAGGTGAATCTAACGAGGACGATGTTCTTGGAAAACGAAATGGTCACTGGTCCCCTACTGCAGCATGCACCATTGACCATGTATATAGCGTCACTGAAACTGCCATTGGAAGAACGATGTTTGAAGTTTCTCACTACATCCGAGTGATGAAAGGAACTCCCTACTCTGTGGACGAAGGAGTGTTAGGGTTGCAAACGCATTCGCCAAGGATTTCAACCCAGCTGGGCTGCACATACCATGTGATTCAGTGATGAGGTTCAGTGAGAGCCGCAAAATGTCAAATTATCGCGTAGACGACCGCTGACTCGATGGTGAGACGTATTTCTGAGAGCACTAAAAAAGCACGTCTCCTTCGCATGTAGAGAAACCACATTAGCTCTCTTGCTATGAGGGGTGGGGACATTACCGGTGCCTGCCCGAGTAACTCGCGGGAATAAAGGCGATGCGGATGTACCCTGAACTTGTCAAAAACATGTTGGTTGTGATCCGTTGGCATTCCGTTTTTTGTTATGTGAAGTGACCTGTTCTTTCAATGGCGTTCAGTGATAAAACTAATGCAGCTTTATTGGGCACAAATGAAGCAACAAGAAAGCATGTTGAGGAATTAAAAAGTTATGTTCGAGCGAAACAACCAGTGTGAGCTATCTCGGAAAAAAAATGAAAAAATCCTTTACTTCAATTCAATCGTCTCTTATTTAAGCAAATTTTCCTTTGTGCTTGAAAACACTTGAAAAGAGTTTGTATTTTGTGAGTTTTCCAATATCCATAGGCGGAAGGACCGTTATGCGGAACAATAACAATGTAATGTGTTCGGCACTAAGCAGCTCATCGCTTTTCTCGGAAGATTTTCCGCGTTGTGTGATACTTTTTTGGGACGCGTCCAAACGCTTTTCCCCTTTGTGGCGTTCCAAACGCAGATTAATCTGTACAACAGAATGCGAGGGCCACAGACCTAGTCCAGTGTTACTATCCTCCCAGGTGAGTCTCACACTAGTTTCCCAGCCCCCGAGGGGTAGAAGACGTGGTTGGTCTGGGCGGAAGCCAACTTACGTTGCTCTCTCGTAGCTTCCTCTTGAATTTCTGGTACTTCGTTCCTTCACGCAAAAATGCTATTGTGCTCTCTACCTCTTATGAACTGACAAAATATTTTTTAGAACGCGTGCATCAGTAGCCATAGACGACTGTCAATTCCATCAGTGTGTGAAACTTGGAAAGTTTGACACCGAGCACGCAATTTCCTTCATTCCTCCAGATGGAGAATATGAGCTCATGAGGTAGGTCTTAACGTCATATTGTTATCGAATGTGTGGCATGGAACGGGGATCTACGTTGAAGGATTTTCTATTTGTTGTGGCTCGAAACATTCATTGACAGGTACCGAACCACAAAAGATATTCAGCTTCCATTCCGTGTTATCCCCCTCGTGCGAGAAGTATACAGAAATAGAATGGAAGTTAAGGTCAGGTAATCATTCATTTACCAAGCTTGCATTCGAGAAGGAACTGTGATTTGCTGCTTGTTGTAAGGAGTCTATACAATTATCACAAAAAAATGAGTTTCATTTTTGCTCTGCACTTCTGGGAGTGCCAAGAAAGTAGTGGGAATAGTTGCTACGAAAAAGTGATTTGAGCCGTCTTGCTAGGCTCTCTTCTAACTGTAATGTTGATTATGCATAGTTCACGAGGCGTTCGTCGATCATGCCTTGGGAAGAACGTAAAATAAGGTTCAAAAATGTATCATACTTGGTATGTGAAGTAATGAGGTAGCATTGAAGTCCCTTCAATGATTCCCGCAGCATCCGTCCCCGCATGCAGTGGGGTATTTAGCACTATGCTGGCGCCAAATGGTCCCGGCGCCCAATTGCCCCAATACACCAAGCTTGAGCAAGATTTCTTCCGAGCCCAAAAACCCACAAAAGGTTAAGATTCACCCATATAGGGTTAAGATGATTGACAATTTTCAACTATTGGCTGCTAGTATCCTCTAGAAGTCGTTATTCAGCTTGGTTACCTGAATCTTCCCATTCACCAGTATGCAAACGCATAATTAACATCCATGAAGTTCAAAGAAAGCACAGAAATACTGCGCATCATCTACATCTAAACCTGAAATCTCAAAAGAAACAAGTTTCGTTCCTTCGGCCAGAGGTACGGCTGGAGCTATCAGTTCTGTGATAAAAGCCTGGACGACGGAAGTCGAGAGAGGTCCAGTATGCTCGCTCGGGTGCTCTGGGGACAACATGGCTTTTTCCGAAGACGTACTGGATTTAAGAGGGCAAAATTTACAACTGTTGGCTTACCTGTAACCTGCGCGTTACGGAAAAGTGAGAGTTCGGGTAGCTCTGCCAATCAAATAGTCGTCCATTCAGACCAGGTCTGAAGACAAAAATTTTCTCACGCTTTGCATATGTAACTAATATGGGCACGCGGAAGCACAACACAGCGGAATTTCGATGAATGCAAATAATTGTTCTCCGCAAAATTCTTCCTAGTCAAGCCTTTGGGCTTCTCTGAAAAAGGGTTCGGGACCTGCTTGCTCGTTTTATCTCAGTGAAAGCGATACCCTGTCACTTCTGGCTCACTAGTCGTATCTTCGCGTCTTCCAGTCTTAATAATATCTAAAAGTAAGAGAAGAAGCAAAAAAGCACGTGTAAAAGCTGATATTGGGATAGAAGGTGCCGTTGAGTTTCGGTGGGCGGGACCACTGGGGAGGCGTCAGCATTGCCACTTTTGAGGCCATATACCTCCGTTACTTACGGTGAAGCCGTGAAAGCGGGATAAACCTGAAGGGTAGGAGCCAGACTATTTTTACAAGGAAGGACGCGTACGAATTGCTTTGGCGCGGGACTGTCTTTGATGTTCTTATTGTTGGCTGTAACGGTTTATGACACGGTTGTCTTCTTGTTTTTATGTTCGGAGATGTTTGGCACCGTCGTGGTCCGCATGCGAGGTAGGACCATGGTGGCTCGTTCGCGGCAGTCTCCCGTAATTAATGCGCAGTGGTGTGTAATGGGCTCGCTGCCGTTGTACTGATCTTCACATGCAAATGCTTCTTTTGCTTCGCATCCTCAATTCGTGGTGCCTCTCACATAGAGTGCCAAGTGCTGTTACTAACTCCAACAATCAGTGTGAGGGAGGTCGTTCAAAGCTTGCCTCGCTTTTTCACGACAGTTTTTCGTATTTTGCAGAGCTTTCACATAGACCAAAGAAATGGGAAGAACAATCGAAATCTGCTCGAGAAATGGTCGTTGGTGTCTTGATTATTTCACGTGCTCAGGAGCTTCTCCCTAGCGTTAGTCCCGCGCCGTCGCAGGGTCCGCTGTTCTTGTTAGACGTCGCCATTTGTTCCGATCCACTGCATCTTCTGCCGTGGCTTTCACTTCAGTGAGGTCCTTCTTGATGACGTCCCTCCATCTTTTCTTTGGGGCTCCTCGTGGTCGCTTGCCTTCCACTTCGAATTCAAGGCTTTTCTTTGATGGGTGTCTCAGGCCTTCTCAGCACGGTCCCGATACCATCGACAGTCGCTGCTCTCGGTGGCCTTCCAGCCTGGATCGGGGCCGTCTGCCGTGAACGCCCTGACAGTCATCGTTTCTGACTCTGTCGAGTCGCGTCCAGCCGCAGGCCCATCTCAGCATCCTCATTTCAGCTGAGTGGAGCTGCCTTTCATGGTTCTTGCAGGCAGCACTCACTGAAAGCAGAGCATTGTAGACCTTGAGCCATGGCCTAGCGTATACGCTTGCCCTTGAGTGTTTCTCGAGCAACGCCGGTCGCACAGGATTCCAGTGGACTCCCTCCATTTCATCCAGGCTGCGTTGATTCGGGCTTTCACCGCCTGATCCACGCTGCCATCAGCTGATAGGTGGCTCCCCAGGTACTGGAAGTCCTCGACCCTTTCGATGTTCTCGCCGTGACGCGTTCTACGATGGGTTCGCTACACTCTTCAGAGCTCAGGAACTTGGTTTCTCTTCACGGTTCAACCGGAGCCCATTCTCAGCGAGCAGATCTTGCCACCGCTGCACCTTGTCCTGGAGTTCTTTCCTGCTGTCCGCTATCAGGGCGATGTCGTCAGCGTAGAGGATGGTTTTTAGCGGTCCCTCCATGAGTTCTGCCATGACATCTAGAGTCAGGAGGAAGAGGAACGGGCTGAGGGCTGATCCTTGGTGTACCCCCAACCGTGATTTTTACCTCCTTCGTCAAGCCGTGCGGGGTGCGTACAGCTGCTTTAGCTCCATCGTACATATCCTTTACTATGACCAGGTGCTCCGGAACGTTACGTTCTCTGAGCGCTTTCCAGAGTACAGGCCTTGGCAGGCGGTCGAATCCTTTCTCCATGGTCCAGGAAGGGCTAGGCTAGGTAGCAGGGTCGCCGCTTCTCTCGGTACTTCTCCATCAGCTGTCTGGCGATGAAGATGGCGTCAGTGGTGGACCTTTCGGGCATTCGACCGCCTGCCAAGGCCTGTACTCTGGAAAGCGCTCAGAGAACGTAACGTTCCGGAGCACCTGGTCTCCATAGTAAAGGATATGTACGATGGAGCTAAAGCAGCTGTACGCACCCCGCACGGCTTGACGAAGGAGGTAAAAATCACGGTTGGGGTACACCAAGGATCAGCCCTCAGCCCGTTCCTCTTCCTCCCGTTCCTCTTCCTCCTGACTCTAGATGTCATGGCAGAACTCATGGAGGGACCGCTAAAAACCATCCTCTACGCTGACGACATCGCCCTGATAGCGGACAGCAGGAAAGAACTCCAGGACAAGGTGCAGCGGTGGCAAGATCTGCTCGCTGAGAATGGGCTCCGGTTGAACGTGAAGAAAACCAAGTTCGCTGAAGCTGCTGAAGCAGCGTGTACGCGAACCATGCGTAAAACGTTCACGGCGCAGGAACATCGAAAAGGTCGAGGACTTCCAGTACCTGGGGAGCCACCTATCAGCTGATGGCAGCGTGGATCAGGCGGTGAAAGCCCGAATCAACGCAGCCTGGATGAAATGGAGGGAGTCCACAGGAATCCTGTGCGACCGGCGGTGCTCGAGAACGCTCAAGGGCAAGGTGTACGGGCGGTGGTGAGGCCTACAATGCTCTACGGTAGTGAATGCTGGCCCATCTGCAAGAACCATGAAAGGCAGCCCATTCAGCTGACACGAGGATGCTGAGGATGGGCGCTCGCCGGCGATGTGGACACGGACTCGACAGAGTCAAGACGGACTGTCAGGGGCGGTCACACAGGCGGCTCCGATTCAGCAGAAGCACGACAGCAGCGACTGCGATGGTATGGGCACGTACTGAGGAGGCCTGAAGACCACCCAATAAGGAAAGCCTTGGAATTCGAAGTGGAAGGCAAGCGACCACGGCAGCGAGCCGCCCAAGGAAAAAGATGGAGGGACGTCATCAAGAAGGACCTCACCGAAGTGAAAGCCACGGCAGAAGATGCAGTGGATCGGAACAAATGGCGACGTCTAACAAGAACAGCGGACCCTGCGACGGCGCGGGACTAACGCTAGGGAGAAGAAGAAGAAGAAGTGACTGCGCTGGAAAGGTGGGCGTGGTGTTGGGGCGAGACTTGCAGCAGTACCTAGTGTGGTCTACTCATTAACTGCCCTTGGTAGGGAGTGTGTCCGATTTGATTTTGATTTGTAAAAAGTGTCCGATTTGATTTGAAAAGTGTCCGATTTGGTTTGAACGTCCGATTTGATTTGAAAAGTGTCCGATTTGGTTTGAAAAGTGTCCTACTTCGTTTGAAAAGTGTCCGATTTAAAGCGAAAATGGTATAGATCAAGTATCAGCAGTTATTTTCTGCATTATTTTGAGGTTGTAACAGATGAAGCAGCGAGTCTTGTGAAGGTAACAACATGGATTTCGCCAACAAATGGAAAGCGTCCAAATTATATTCATGCATAGACATGCATGGACGGAAGGAAAGCGAAAGCTGAAAAATACAAAAAATTGCAGTGTGATGGCGGGACGCAAACCACCAACTCTTTAGCGGTTAACTAAGGCAAACTGTAGCAGCTTGACTACTCAGTGAGAGGATCAATCGCGATTAGGATGAATCACGTTAAAAATCGATGAAGACATGAGCCGTCAGGAATGCGCGAAGAACATTATCGGATGGTGACGTGCGAAGGCGGAGCTTATGGAGGCATTGTTGATGACACCGGTTGATCCTACAAGGCCACGAGCCCTCAGGCACGCTTCCGACTGGACATGCATGCTTACGGCCACGGGGCATTTTGTCTGGAATACCGAGCTACATCAATAAAATATGGAATATATGTATCGTGCCGTGTCACACGCGAGCAACCTAGTAACGAGACGTCACCGACGCGATTACATAAGGCGATCTGACCAATGAATTCTTGAGCAGCATCCGATTGTTGGAGGAAACTCTCAAATGCTTCTTTTGCTTCGCATCCTCAATTCGTGGTGCCTCTCACATAGAGTGCCAAGTGCTGTTACTAACTCCAACAATCAGTG